TTTATAGAATTGATCATATTTAATTTTTTTGTGTATTTTTTCGAAAAGTTCATTGAAAAACAAAAATTTAAAAAATAAGGGACCCAAAGGTCAAAGTCTGAAAAAGTTATGGCTATTTGAAAATAAAAAAGTCACTTTTTTGGGAAATATATAACTTTTTTTGGGTTGGATGAAAAAATTTGAAAAAATTCTCAAAAATGTTTTTCAAAGGGTAGAAAAGAATGATAAAGTTTTAGCTAAATCTAAAGTGGTCAAGTTCAAAAGTGGTCGATTTGGCATGGAATACCCCATAAACACTCTCAAATGGTCATACAACCTCAATTTTTCAGTTCTGTAAATTAAATTTAGATTTCTTACCTAGAGTAAATATAGTCTTAATGATCGAAGTATAGCAGCCTAAATCATTACATGCTTTGCACGAAAGATTACCGGAGGGTCCTATGATTAACTGAATGGTAGATATTACTTTTGTCATACTTATAACAGAAGTATTCATATTTCTTGTAGAATTGCTAATCGATTTATTAAAATTGTCTGAGTAAGCCCACTCTATAGACGGCAATGGATATCCATAAGCGTCACATTTAAATTGCCTTTTCGTATTTTGTAAATAATAACCAATGTTTGTTTCCTTATTTCTTATTGATGGTGTTGCTGAAAATTATTTTTATCAGTCAGACGAGTTAAAGAAAAGAATTAATTTATGAAACTAACAATAAATGTGATGATATCAAAGAGATCCTCGAATTGTTTGAGTATTCCCAATTAAGGTAAAAAGTGATGTCTTATAATCTTTTATCAAGCATTTGAAAATAGTATATTGCATAGTTGGGTTACTAGGATAGTCATATGTGGAGAATGCAATGTTTCTAAAACAAGTCGTAGGGTCTACTATGCAGGATATGTTATTCAAAAATTGCCAAATTATATGAAATAAACCTACTTTCTTGACTAAAAACAATCTTTTCAAGAAATTACAAATCATTTTGACTCTAAGAAAATTCAATTTCTCAAATAGTTTGGAAAATCGGTAAGTGCACGCCTCATAATCTCATTTTCCACAACAAACTTGATTAAAATAAAATACAAAAAACGAAATAATGAAATATTTTTATAAGGCGTGTAAGACTAGAATTTAAAATAAAAAGTCGACGGTTTACTATGGTTTAGCCTTAACCCGGAAAAAATGTTTGAATTCGCGCTTCGCTATAAGTAGTGTCACCTGCTTGACGCATAATAATCAGCTAATTATATAAACTTATCTATAATTGCAAAAGAGAATTCCGTCGAATTCTATATAAATGTATCTCATTATATGAAATTTTATGCAATTGTGTCTAATTAGATACAATTCTATACAATTGTATCTAATTATATATAATTTGATACAATACTCCTTCATGACTTCGAATAATTTTATATAATTGGATATAATTATATAGTTACATATAAATGAATAATTTTATATAATTGTATATAATTATATAGTTATATATAAATTATTAGGACCAGGGACTTCGTATGGAAGGGGTAAAACAATTGATTAAAACAAATGCTCGTGCGTTACCCCTTCCATACGAAGTCCCTGGCCATATAAATTATATTCAATTATATATAGACGATATACAATTATATATAATTGTATCTAATTATATAAAATCTTTTTTCTGCCCTCCGACCGGAAAGTGGCAACTTTCTGGCCGCTGTGCTAAACAAAGTTGCCACATTCCGGCTACGTCGAGAACAAAAATAGTATACACACCTTGGCCAGTAAAAAGTAAAGCTTCAGACCACATGTTTGTCAACCTCGGCTTCGCCTCGGCCAACAATTACATGTGGTCTGAGAGTTTTCTTATTTTACTGGCCTAGGTATGTCATATACTATTTACTCGGGTATAGTATTCGAATTCGATGCATTTAAATCATTTCAAATCAATTCAAATAAGATTTCTTAATCAGGGAAGGTAATTGAAAATTTTTTTATGGAATTTTAATCTTTAATATAAATAATGATTTTTAAAAGAAAAATTGTTCCTTAAACCAATTTTTGGAGTTTATTAGAGTTTATACACAATTTTTAACTTCCCACTAAGAAAATTGAAAATTTTTAAAAGTTGGGAAGTTATTGGTTTCACCCCGTTTTACGAAAATTGAGTTTTCATCAAATCTCGACGATTTAAAGTCCTAGAAAGCTTTCCTGACTATTCCTGCGGTAATGTACCATGTCTGTATGTATGTATGCATGTTTTTTTTTTTTCCTTTTAAGGGGGGGAATCCTTTTACGGATTCTAGGCATAGATGTTGGCCCGGATATGTGGCGACTCGACGCAGCGTCATACTAAAACTTGACGCTGACGCCCCTACCCACTAAACCCTAAACCCCTTTCCTCTTTCCTCTAATCCCTCATGGAAACCGCCGTCAGGCATTACTTCGTGA